CAAAGAATTTCTGAAGCATTGAAGGTCCACAAAAACACAGTGGCTTTGGAACCACAAAGACTCTTCGTAGAGCTGGCCGCCGGGCCAAACTGAGCAATCAGGGGAGAAGGGCCTTGGTCAGGGAGGTGACCAAGAACCCGATGGTCACTCTGCCAGAGCTCCAGAGTTCCTCTGTGGAGATGGGAGAACCTTCCTGAAGGACAACCATCTCTGCAGCACTCCACCAATCAGGCATTTATGTTAGAGTGGCCAGACAGAAGCCACTCCTCAGTAAAAGGCACATGACAGCCCGCTTGGAGTTTGCCAAAAGGCACCTAAAGGACTCAGACCATGAGAAACAAGATTATCTGGTCTAATGAAACCAAGATTGAACTGTTTGGCCTGAATGCCAAGCATCACATCTGGAGGAAACCTGGCACCATCCCTACGGTGAAGCATGGTGGTGGCAGCATCATGCTGTGGGGATGTTTTTCAGCAGCAGGGACTGGGAGACTAGTCAGGATCGAGGGAAAGATTAATGGAGCAAAGTGCAGAGAGATCCTTGTTAGTGCGCTCAGGACCTCAGACTGGGGCAATGGTTCACCTTCCAACAGGACAACGACCCTAAGCACACAGCCAAGACAACACAGGAGTGGCTTCGGGACAAGTCTCTGAATGTCCTTGAGTGGCCCAGCCAGAGCCCGGACTTAACTCGATTAAACATCTCTGGAGAGACCTGAAAATAGCTGTTCAGCAACGCTCCCTGTCCAACCTGACAGAGCTTGAGAGGATCTGCAGAGAAGAATGGGAGAAACTCCCCAAATACAGGTGTGCCAAGCTTGTAGCGTCATACCCAAGAAGACTCAAAGCTGTAATCATTGCCAAAGGGTGCTTCAACAAAGTACTGAGTAAAGGGTCTGAATACTTATGTAAATGTGATGTTTCCGGGGGGGGGGTTTATACATTTGCAAAATTATGGGGTATTGTGTGTAGATTGTCGAGGAAAGAAAACTATTTAATCAATTTTAGAATAAGGCTGTAACGTAAAAAAATGTGGAAAAAGTCAAGGGTTCTGAAGACTTTCCGAATGCAGAGTATATTTAATGATTACAACTAGCTACTAGCCTATTTTGATGGAAGTGAATACCAAATGGAAAAAAAAGATTTTATTCGATAGGTTTTCTAGGACATTCATCTTAAGCCATCCCTTGAAATACACTGTACCTTTTTAGTTAGAATATTGTGGACAGACTCACTAGGATATATAGAGAGAACGGGTTCTGAATATTAGGGACCACTGAAAGAAAGCCATCTAAATATATGCAAATTCTTCTTCCGTTTCAGAACCGATTGGTACATTTAAAAATACTCTGATCTTGTAGATTATCTAGGTTTAGAAAAAGGTGGTTTAATTCTGAAAACATTCATTCAACCCATCAAATCAAATATAAGTTGATGTGTCACATGCTTCATAAACAACAGGTGAAATACTTACTTCCCAACAATTCAGAGAGAGAAAAAGAGAAAATAAATACACAGTAACTATAACTTGGTTATATACACGCACTACCAGTACCGAGTCGATGTGCAGGGGTACGAGGTAAATGAGGTAGATATGTACATATAGGTAGGGGTAAAGTGACTAGTCAACAGGATAGATAATAGACAGTAGCAGCAGTATACTGTAGGTAGGGGTAAAGGGACTAGACAACAGGACAGATAATAGACAGTAGCAGCAGTATACTGTAGGTAGGGGTAAAGTGACTAGACAACAGGATAGATAATAGACAGTAGCAGCAGTATACTGTAGGTAGGGGTAAAGGGACTAGACAACAGGATAGATAATAGACAGTAGCAGCAGTATACTGTAGGTAGGGGTAAAATGACTAGACAACAGGATAGATAATAGACAGTAGCAGCAGTATACTGTAGGTAGGGATAAAGTGACTAGACAACAGGATAGATAATAGACAGTAGCAGCAGTATGCTGTAGGTAGGGGTAAAGTGACTAGACAACAGGATAGATAATAGACAGTAGCAGCAGTATACTGTAGGTAGGGGTAAAGTGACTAGGCAACAGGATAGATAATAGACAGTAGCAGCAGTATACTGTAGGTAGGGGTAAAGTGACTAGACAATAGGATAGATAATAGACAGTAGCAGCAGTATACTGTAGGTAGGGGTAAAGGGACTAGACAACAGGATAGATAATAGACAGTAGCAGCAGTATACTGTAGGTAGGGGTAAAGTGACTAGGCAACAGGATAGATAATAGACAGTAGCAGCAGTATACTGTAGGTAGGGGTAAAGTGACTAGACAACAGGATAGATAATAGACAGTAGCAGCAGTATACTGTAGGTAGGGGTAAAGTGACTAGACAACAGGATAGATAATAGACAGTAGCAGCAGTATACTGTAGGTAGGGGTAAAGTGACTAGGCAATAGGATAGATAATAGACAGTAGCAGCAGTATACTGTAGGTAGGGGTAAAGGGACTAGACAACAGGATAGATAATAGACAGTAGCAGCAGTATACTGTAGGTAGGGGTAAAGTGACTAGACAATAGGATAGATAATAGACAGTAGCAGCAGTATACTGTAGGTAGGGGTAAAGGGACTAGACAACAGGATAGATAATAGACAGTAGCAGCAGTATACTGTAGGTAGGGGTAAAGTGACTAGGCAACAGGATAGATAATAGACAGTAGCAGCAGTATACTGTAGGTAGGGGGTAAAGTGACTAGACAACAGGATAGATAATAGACAGTAGCAGCAGTATACTGTAGGTAGGGGTAAAGTGACTAGACAACAGGATAGATAATAGACAGTAGCAGCAGTATACTGTAGGTAGGGGTAAAGTGACTAGACAACAGGATAGGTAATAGACAGTAGCAGCAGTATACTGTAGGTAGGGGTTAAAGGGACTAGACAACAGGATAGATAATAGACAGTAGCAGCAGTATACTGTAGGTAGGGGTAAAGTGACTAGGCAACAGGATATATAATAGACAGTAGCAGCAGTATACTGTAGGTAGGGGTAAAGTGACTAGACAATAGGATAGATAATAGACAGTAGCAGCAGTATACTGTAGGTAGGGGTAAAGTGACTAGACAACAGGATAGATAATAGACAGTAGCAGCAGTATACTGTAGGTAGGGGTTAAAGTGACTAGACAACAGGATAGATAATAGACAGTAGCAGCAGTATACTGTAGGTAGGGGTAAAGGGACTAGACAACAGGATAGATAATAGACAGTAGCAGCAGTATACTGTAGGTAGGGGGTAAAGTGACTAGGCAACAGGATAGATAATAGACAGTAGCAGCAGTATACTGTAGGTAGGGATAAAGTGACTAGACAACAGGATAGATAATAGACAGTAGCAGCAGTATACTGTAGGTAGGGGTAAAGGGACTAGACAACAGGATAGATAATAGACAGTAGCAGCAGTATACTGTAGGTAGGGGTAAAGGGACTAGACAACAGGATAGATAATAGACAGTAGCAGCAATATACTGTAGGTAGGGGTAAAGTGACTAGACAACAGGATAGATAATAGACAGTAGCAGCAGTATACTGTAGGTAGGGGTAAAGGGACTAGACAACAGGATAGGTAATAGACAGTAGCAGCAGTATAGTGTAGGTAGGGTTAAAGTGACTAGACAACAGGATAGATAATAGACAGTAGCAGCAGTATACTGTAGGTAGGGGTAAAGTGACTAGACAACAGGATAGATAATAGACAGTAGCAGCAGTATACTGTAGGTAGGGGTAAAGTGACTAGACAACAGGATAGATAATAGACAGTAGCAGCAGTATACTGTAGGTAGGGGTAAAGTGACTAGGCAAACAGGATAGATAATAGACAGTAGCAGCAGTATACTGTAGGTAGGGGTAAAGTGACTAGACAACAGGATAGATAATAGACAGTAGCAGCAGTATACTGTAGGTAGGGGTAAAGTGACTAGACAACAGGATAGATAATAGACAGTAGCAGCAGTATACTGTAGGTAGGGGTAAAGTGACTAGACAACAGGATAGATAATAGACAGTAGCAGCAGTATACTGTAGGTAGGGGTAAAGTGACTAGAGAACAGGATAGATAATAGACAGTAGCAGCAGTATACTGTAGGTAGGGGTAAAGTGACTAGACAACAGGATAGATAATAGACAGTAGCAGCAGCGTGTGTGATGTGTCAAAATAGTTAGAGTAAAAAGGGTCAATCCGGATAGTCCGGGTAGCTATTTGGTTAACTATTTCAGATTCTGATTCTGATCAACTTTATTATCCCACCAGGGGGAAATTCATTTGGTCATGTGCTGCTTAAAGAGACGGTACATAAAACATGAAAACACAGAAAATACACAAAATAATTCATTCAAAGTGCTATGGCTACATATTTAAAATGAAAGTACAATATTCTGTATACTCGAGGGACCAACAGACTATCTATTGGAATAAAAGAGTCCCCATAGCTATCTGTTTTGGTTTTCTTTTGAAGAAGTCTCTTTCCCCTTGTTCGGCTGCTGCTACTGAATTCTGATTGAAGTGGATGAGTACTGTCCTGTAAAACGCTTTCAAGTTTTTAGGAGGTTGAGTTTGATGTACAGGTTGGTGGCTGGTTCTTGATCTATAGCAATTATCCTTCCCGCCGTCTTGATCAAGCGCTGAAGCTTGACTTGGTCTTGGCGTTTCCAAACACGCATATCAGACCAAAGGACAGCACACTCTGCAGGGCAGATTTATAGAACATTTGTAAGATGTGGCGGTCGACATTAAAATGGTTCAGTTTGCGTAAAAAAAAAAAAAAAAACATTATCTGTTGCACTTTCTTTATCTTTGCCAAAGGCACAGTCATTACATTTCAGTTTATTGTCTATTTCGATTCCCAGGTGTTTGTATGTGGTCACTATCGACTGATTCACCATTGATCTTCGTTGGAGCTTTGTTCCTTCTGAAATCAATTTCCATCTCTTTTGTTTTCCTAAAGTGTATTTCAAGAAAGTGATCTGCACACCACTGGGCGAAGTTGACCGTTTCTCTGTCAAAACCTCGAAGAGAGGCTTGCTCTGTGTGGAGAAAACCCACAACAGCGGCGTAATCTGCATATTTAAAGAATTTTGGGGGGGCTGAATCAGAGGCTTGACAATTGTTTGTGTACAATGTGTGCAGTATCGGTGAAAGTATGCCACCTCGACGGGCTAGATGTAGAGATGGCTTAGTTAAACGTCGCTTGTTGAGTACGGTTCACAAAATAAACGATTAATCCACTTGATCGGTAGAGAGTTGACACCCAAATTCACCAGCTTACCCACAAGTAGCTGGGGTTGGATGGTGTTAAACTCGCTACTGAAGTCAATGTGTACGATTTTCACTAAGCTATTTGCCTTTTCGAAACGTTCGTTGATATTGTTCAGCATGACCAGTAACACATCAACAACACCCCTGGAGGCAAAGTAGGCCAGTTGGTTTGGATGCAATTGGGACGAGAGACCAGAGACCATTAGTTTTTGAATTATTTTTTCAAAACATTTAATAGGTACAGATGTGAGGGCTACAGGGCAGCATTCAACCCTGCAGGGAGTAAATCGTTATTTTCTTTTGGCCTGTTGTTTTATTTAGGTATTGGGACAATCAGCGACTTCTTCCTTAAGTCTGGAATTATCCCACTGTTCAGTGACAGCTAGAACCGCTACTGGAATGGTAATGCCAGCTGGTCTGTGCATGCCTGAAGTACCTTGCCGCTGACACCGTCTGAACCATATGATCTCCGTGGGTTGACGCGTTGAATGTATTGCTTGACGTCATTCACAGAGATCTGTATATCAACAGCTGTCAACGCTGTCTATACAGTCCCAAGGCCACGTTCTGCTGCGACGTAAAATCACACACGTCAAACCTACAATAGAAACTTTTCAAATCATTTTCAAAAGCAAGGTCATTTTCGACGGTCACACAATGTCCCTTTGGTTTGTAGCCTGCTATGGTTTGTAGCCCGTGCCAGGCTTTCCTGATGTCCTTGTCCTTGAAATGGTTTTCTAATGTGTCTCTGTATGCTGCCTTGCTCTCCTTGATATAGCTTTTGAGTCTCCTCTGAATATGTTTCCTTTCCTCTTTAATGCCATCTGATTAAACACTTGTTTTCTCTGGTTGGAGCTCTTTTAATTCCCGAGTTACCCACGGTTTATTATTGGGGAAGATGTTGACTTTCTTTTTGGGAATAACGAGATCCTCACAGAAACGGATGTACTTGGAGACAGTGTCCGCTGCCTCTTCCGGGTCATCGGCGCGGTCCGTCGGGGCAAGCCCAGTCAGTGGACTCAAAACGGTCCTGGCTTCAGTAGCTTCCGGAGTGTAACATATTGCCGATACGATGGTAAATGTTCAGATAGATTACACATGTTTAAAGTCTCCCAAGATCAGCTTCACTGCTTCAGGTGACTCTGTCTCAGCCTGGGATACAAGGTCATGAATCAAGTCGGCAGCTATTTGGGTGTCAGCGGAGGGGGCCAAGTAAACAATAAATAGTCAGACCTGATTTATTTCCCGTGTAGTATGGCCGTAGGTTAAGAGCAAGGAGTTCAATGTATTTAATACAGACCTGGTGCTTAGTTGTAATAAGGTTGCAATATTTCTCGTTGATGAATGCACAAACTCCACTACCTTTTCTCTTACCAGCGTTGATGTTTCGGTCCGTTCTATAGTGTAGCCATCCAGTTCCACTGAGGAGTCGGGATCCTGTTCCGTGAGCCAGGTCTCAGGTCTCAGGTAAACAGATCAGGCAGGATTGTCGGTACCCTGAGAGGTATTGGGTACAAGCCCGTAGCTCCTCAGTCTTATTCAGTGGTGGAAAAAGTACCCAATTGTCATACTTGAGTAAAAGTAAAGATACCTTAATAGAAAATGACTCAAGCAAAACTGAAAGGCAGCCAGTAAAATACTACTTGAGTAAAAGTCTAACAGTATTTGGTTTTAAATATACTTAAGTATCAAAAGTAAAAGTACAATTAATTCAGATTCCTTATATGAAGCAAACCAGACGCACCAGTTTATTCTTGTTATTTCTTTTACAGATAGACAGGGGCACGCTGCAACACTCAGACATCATTGCAAACAAATCATTTGTGTTTAGTGAGTCCGCCAGATCAGAGGCAGTAGGGATGACCAGGGATGTTCTCTTGATACGTGTGTGAATTGGACCATTTTCCTGTCCTGCTAAGCATTCAAAATGTAACGAGTACTTCTGGGTGTCAGGGAAAATGTATGGAGTAAAAATTACAGTATTTTCTTTAGGAATGTAGTGAAGTAAAACACACACACTTCCCTTTAACTCACGCACTTCCCCTTTAACAAACGCACTTCCATTAAACACACACACGTCCCTTAAACACACGCACTTCCCCTTTAACAAACGCACTTCCAATAAACACACACACGTCCCTTAAACACACGCACTTCCCCTTTAACAAACGCACTTCCAATAAACACACACATGTCCCTTAAACACACACACTTCCCCTTTAACAAACGCACTTCCCTTTAACTCACGCACTTCCCTTTAACAAACGCACTTCCCTTTAACTCACGCACTTCCCTTTAACTCACGGACTTCCCTTTAACACACGCACTTCCCTTTAACTCACGCACTTCCCTTTAACACACGCACTTCCCTTTAACTCACGCACTTCCCTTTAACACACACACTTCCCCTTTAACTCACACACTTCCCTTTAACTCACGCACTTCCCTTTAACTCACGCACTTCCCTTTAACAACAAAACACTTCCCTTTAACTCACGCACTTCCTTTAACAAAAACCACTTCCCTTTAACTCACACATTTCCCCCTTTAACTCACACTTCCCCTTTTAACTCACCCCCTTCCCTTTAAAAACCACGCAATTTCCCTTTAAAACAAACATTCCCTTAATCATCACTTCCCTTAACTCCCCAAAACTTCCCTTTAAAACTACGCACTTCCCTTTAAACTCACCACTTCCCTTCTCAACGCACTTCCCTTTAACTCACGCACTTCCCTTTAACAACACAACTCCCCTTTAACCACATTCCCCTTTAACTCAACACTTCCCTTTTAACACACTCCCCTTTAACTCACGCACTCCCTTTAACACACGCACTTCCTGTTAAATCACACATTCCCTTAACCACACACACTTACCCTTTAACACACACACTCCCCTTGAACACAACACTTCCCATTTTAACTCACACACTTCCCCTTGAACCCAACGCACTCCCTTTTAACTACGCCACTTCCCCTTTAACCTCAACCACGCACTTCCCTTGGAAGGTTAATGTACATATAATTCTAATAGTGTCCAATAGCAGGCCACACCCTCCTCTATTGCCTGCACTAACCATGGAACTGTGTGATGCCAAGTATTGCGCCATGCTCAAACTGTTAAGGCTTGGTCTGTGCTCCGCTCCATAAGCCATTTAACTGGCCCACATGTCTTCTTTATATGATCAACTGTTACTAATGATCCTCAGCAACAACCGCACGGCTGTGACGGCTTTACACAGGAAGCAAATGAAGGTGAACTAAACAATGTAATTAAATGGAATGATAATGTAGTATATTCCAACTAAAGGGAACTAACAATGTAATGATAATATATATATATATATATATATGTGGGTGGTGTGGGTTCTTCTAATGTATTGATTCTGCTGTGGGTGGTGTGGGTTCTTCTAATGTATTGATTCTGCTGTGGGTGGTGTGGGTTCTTCTAATGTATTGATTCTGCTGTGGGTGGTGTGGGTTCTTCTAATGTATTGATTCTGCTGTGGGTGGTGTGGGTTCTTCTAATGTATTGATTCTGCTGTGGGTGGTGTGGGTTCTTCTAATGTATTGATTCTGCTGTGGGTGGTGTGGGTTCTTCTTGAATTGTAAACATGGAGTTGGTGACCATGACTTAACTGAAGAGGTCAAGTTAACATTTTGTCACAGAGAAGTTACATACATTCTGCATTTAGCTAAATGAATAGCTTGAAAATTAAAACATTTACTAATTGACTTTCTGACTAAAGTGACATAATGTGAAGAGGTCCTTTAGGGGGATGGAGGAGAAATGATTGAAATGAATAACATGAAAAGGTTTATGGAATTCATTTGAAGCCTCAATTCTGAAAGGTTGTTCACACATTTAGATGGAAGACATAGATTGTTTGACAGAATAAAGATGCTCTAAGACACCAGGAAATCATGTAGACACGGCAACATTTGAAATCTTTTCCCGAAATCCAAGCTACTATTAAAGCCCCTCTCTGCAGCACTCTATCATCTCAAAACAAACCCATCGTAAACCACATCGTGTTCCTTTGTATGTCTTCTCTCAGAAACAAAACTAAAGGATTAAATTGCCTCACAGCCCTACTCAGGTGACCAGCTGTGGTGATGCTGTATCAACAGTTGCAGCGATGCTGTATCAACAACAGCAGTGCAGGTGGAAACTGGTAACAGCGGGGCGGCCATTGTGTGCTTCTAAAGTCTACTGCAGGTGTAATCTGTAGTCTGACAGGGGCATGCGTCCCAAATGCCACCCTATTCCCTATTTAGTGCACTACTTTTGACCTGGGCTCTGGTAGGGAACAGGGTGGTATGTGAGATGCAGACAGCGGGGGTAAGCTAATGTTTACGCCGCTATAATGCCTGAGAGAGTGAGAGTATTTGTACAATGGGGCATGTTGTGAGAGAATCTCTATGCATACAGAGATGGTTATCCTAAAGCCTCCTGGGTAGTTTTTTATGTTATGTGATTTGTCGCTGCCGTTTTTTTTTTTTGTTGCCTGAGGGTAAAATAATCCCTTATTCCATCTTGGTTAAATCCATATCTAACCTAGCTCTGTTTTCAATGTTGTAATGCTGTTTTCTCTCTTTCTATCTCTTTCTCTCTCTCTCTCTGCCTCCCTTCCTCCCTTCCTCCCCCCCCCCCTCTCTCTCTCCAGCGATGGCCTGTGGGATGCCTCTACCTCCAGTAAACGGGAGTATCGTCGGGCAGGACTTCACTCTTGGTGCCAGGGCCATGTACCAGTGCAACCCTGGCTTCAGATTGGCCAGCCCCCTGGCCGTGTCAGTCGTCTGCCAGGAGTCTGGGAGGTGGAGCCCCAATGAGGCCCCGCCCCGCTGCATACGTGAGTAGTACTCATCGATTGGATTTTATTAGGTATTAGACAGTTTATTAAGTACACCCTTCTAGTACTCGGCTCGGAGCCCCCCTTTGCCTCCAGAACATCCTGAATTCTTCGGGGTGGATTCTACAAGGTGTCGGAAAAACATTCTTTACTCAACTGGTATCAAGGGACCTAAAGAGTGCCAGGAAAACTTTCCCCACCACCACCATTCCACCACCACCAGCAGCAGCCTGTACCGTCGACACCAGGCAGGACGGGGCCATGGACCTCATGCTGCTTACGCCAAATCCTGACTCAACAGGAACCGGGATTTGTCGGACCAGGCAATGTTTTTCCAGTCCTCGGTGTTGGTGATCGATGTGCCCACTGGAGCCGCTTCTTCTTGTTTTTACCTGATAGGAGTGGAACCCGGTGTGGTCGTCTGCTGCAATAGCCCGTCCGTGACAAGGACCGCCGAGTTGTGGTTTCCCGAGATGCCGTTCTGCCACACCACTGTTGTACTGCGCCGTTATTTTCCTGTTTGTGGCCCGCCTGTTAGCTTGCACCATTCTCCTTGCCATTCTCCTTCGACCTCTCATCAACGAGCTGTTTTCGTCCACAGGAATGCCGCTGACTGGATGTTTTTTGATTGTCCCACCATTCTCTGTAAACCCTAGACACTGTCATGTGTGAAAAGCCCAGGAGGGAGGACGTTTCTGAGATACTGTAACCGGTGCGCCTCAAGTCGCTTAGGTCACTAATGTTCAATCGAGCAGTAACTGAATGCCTCGATGCCTGTCTGCGTTTACATTTACATTTTAGTCATTTAGCAGATGCTCTTATCCAGAGCGACTTACAGTTAGTGAGTGCATACATACTTTTTTTTATTTTTCATACTGGCCCCCCCGTGGGAATCCATATCTCCCTGCTTTATATAGCAAGCCACAGCCACGTGACTCACTGTCTGTAGGAGCAATCCATTTTTCGTGAATAATAAACTGGCCGGTGAGTGTATGTCCTCATTGGTTGGAGATCACTTATCATGAGTCCTCATTGGTTGGAGATCACTTATCGTGAGGCCTCATTGGGTGGAGATCACACATAGTTCGGTTCTCATTTGGGCATGAGTTCCCAGAGATATAATTTTAGTCTACATTTCCTTCCACATTTGTAATGATTTAGAATAAGTTTTATAACTAGGTTTTATTCAGAATTACAGTGAGTTGTGACAGGGTTCAACCCCAACACCATGTTAGATTTAAGACTGTTCTGTATGTGTTCATTTTGGGTAGAGAAACATCACCAGCACTTCTTCACTGTCCAAGAGTCACTCAAAGATGACTGTTGAGATCCAAGAATGAGGTGTCACTGTCAAGCTTGTGGCATGTTTAGGTTATAAGTAACCTCACTTAGATAATTAGTTTTGGTTTTTCCAGACAAAATCACAATTTTAAATGTACTACGACAACTACATATAATAATGTAGCAACTATTATCATATGGTATGATAGACTTGTCATACAGATCAATAGACTGAGACATATAGTGTATTGCCTATTAACTAAATAAAGTAGTAATTTCACATCTTACCAGTTCAGTTAGTCATTTTTGACCCCTGACCTTTGCAGCGGTGACCTGCCCTGACATCGGCCACGCTGCAGTGGATCATGGGAGATGGAGGCTGATCTACGGGTCTCAGAGCCAGTACGACGCCATGATGATGCTCATCTGTGACCCCGGATATTACTACAAGGGTCAGAGGGTCATCCGTTGCCAGGCCAACAGCACCTGGGACTACCCAGAGCCCCGGCCGGCATGCGAGAGTGAGTCAGAAACTATATCTCCCACAATGCATTTTAGAACAGTAAAATATGCCATTTTGCTTTCAGCCAAGATATGCTTTAGTTGATTTAGCTTGTTCAGGATTACAGAATGAGACACAGTCAATAAAATACATTTACCATGGAAATCATTATCAATGCTAATTCACCTGACCAATGCTTTCTTTATATGGCGAGAGAGAAAGAGCGAAGATCTGAGGACGTTAAAACAAAATGATCTCTAAATTGCAAAGAGTTAAACCAAATTGATACATAAATTGTTCCAATGAAACAAGTTAAATATAAGTGTTTTGTCTTTTAGGGTTATGAATTTTCTATGCTTGCTTAATCGGTCCTCCAGATCTGCAGACCAGTCATCATCTTCGCATCGGACACTCTACAAGCATCCCCTGCAGTTCTTCTTCTTGTCCATCCCTGACGCAGTGCATGATCTCTCGAGACGCAGAATCACTTCTCCCTCGATCTATCAGAGCCTCTACCCCAATACTACATCAACCTTACCTCATAAACGCATGAACATCTAACCTCCTTCTCTCCTCTCTTGGCTCAACTAATATATCCTTCTTCCTAGTCACTCCGCATAGTCTGTCTCCTCTACTCTGCCTCTACCATTCTCATCAGACCTCGTCCCTAGCACCTCCAGCTCCTCTCCGTACCATCTCCTATCTCTCTCCTCTCTCTCCTCTCCTCTCCTCTCCTCTCCTCTCCTCTCCTCTCCTACTTCTTTCTTCCTCCTCTTCCTCTCCTCTCCTCTCCTCTAACTCTCCTCTCCTCGCCTCCTCAGTAATCTCCTGTGGGGACCTGGGCACTCCTCCGAATGGGAATAAGATCGGGACTCTGACGGTGTTCGGAGCGACAGCCATCTTCTCCTGTAACACAGGCTATACTCTGGTGGGGTCCCGGGTCAGAGAGTGCATGTCCAACGGCCTCTGGAGTGGATCTCAGGTCCAGTGTCTCGGTAAGAGGACCAGAACCAGCTAGAGTCAGTTACAACCAGATTTAATCAGTTCAATCCCATTTTTTTGTATTTCAGCTGCTCTGAATATTGAGCTGATCAAGCTATTTTCACAAAGAACCAGATCATAGTGTTTGGTTACCATTGTGTTTTATATGGCAATATGTAGGACCTATTTATGACAGACAGAATATAGCCTGTATACACATGTAATATATATATATATATATATATAACTGTGTACATATGTGACTGTTTTTCTTTGTCTCTGTTCTGTTCTGTCCCTCCTCCCTAGCGGGTCACTGCGGTACCCCAGAACCCATAGTGAATGGTCAGATCATAGGAGAGAACTACAGCTACAGAGGTAGCGTGGTCTACCAGTGTAACCCAGGATTCAGACTCATCGGGGTGTCTGTACGCATCTGTGAACAGGACCACCGCTGGTCCGGACGCACCCCTGTCTGTGTCCGTAAGTACACGGAGATAGTGGCTTGAGATGGGTCGAACAAAAAATCTACCTTTTTTTTTTTTTTTTTTTTTACAGAAATCCCAATGGAACTTTTCCAGAATTAGGAGGGAATTATCAGGGAATACAGGAATCCTCCAACCGGGATTTCTAGAAAACCTGGGAATTTTGGGAAAGTTTGTGGAATTGTGCAACCCTAGTGTCCTGATAGGTGAATGGGGACTTGTAGACTTGGGTCTAACTATTGTGTAATGAATAGGATTGGATGTAGACTTGGGTCTACCTATAGTGTATGGCTTCTACTGGCTAAGGTGGAATGGAATTTGAAAACATACAGACTGATGTGTTTTTGGGGTAGTGTTAACAGTTTTTAATATACTTTAGACATGTTCACTGATAGTGATGGATATTGTCTATATTGTCCTTGTCTCCATAGCGACCACATGTGGTCACCCGGGCAACCCTACCTTTGGCGTTACCCAGGGAACGCAGTTCAACCTGAACGATATTGTGCGCTTCGTTTGCAACACCGGCTACGTCCTACAAGGGGCTGTTAAGTCTCACTGCCAGTCCAACGGACAGTGGAGCAACACCCTGCCCAAATGTAAAAGTAAGTATGGGTAATGTAAAGAGAGGACCGTATTATTGAATTACTTAAAGAACTTAGCGTACTGCTATGGGAATGAGGTGAGCAACGTACGGGAATGTGTAGGTAATATTTACACACAAAGTGTTGAATAAAGATGTCTGGACAAAAGTTGAATCTGTGACGCAGACGTAGCATGTCAGATAGCTAGCTTAGTTTAGCTTGGCCCAGTGATGTCGTCTTTCCATAGACTTAAAGAATTTAGCGTACTGTCACCCATAAAATGTCTTTGCTCGTATAGGTCAGTGGTATTGACCGAGACTTTGGGGTGCGTTGTGCATGGGTCAGCTAGCTAGCTCAGAGCTAGCTTAGCTTAGTGCAGGGGATGTTTTTTTTTTACTGGCCCCCTGTGGGAATCAAACCCACAACCCTGGCGTTGCAAGCGCCATGCTCTACCAACTGAGCTACACGGGGCTACAATGTTGTCGCCCTGACCTGTTATATTCCTGGATTCTTATAGGCAGATACAATGCCCTCAGAAAGTATTCATACCCCTTGACTTATTCCACATTTTGTTGTATTACAGACAGAATTCAAAATGGAATACATAGATTTTTTTATTTCTTACCGATCTACACACAATACCCCGTAACGACAAAGTGAAAACATGTTTTTCGAAATTTTGGAAATGTATTGAAAATGAAATACAGAAATATCTAATTTACATAAGTATTCACACCCCTGAGTCCATATATGTTAGAGTCACCTTTGGCAGCGATTACAGCTGTGAGTCTTTCTGGGTAAGTCTCTAAGAGCTTTGCACACCTGGATTGTACAATATTATAAAAATAATTATTCAACCTCTGTCAAGTTGGTTGTTAATCATTGCTAGACAGACATTTCAAATCATGCCATAGATGTTCAAGCCGATTTAAGTCAAAACTGTAACTAGGCCACTCAGGAACATTCAGTGTCGTCTTGGTAACCAACTCCAGTGTATATTTAGCCGTTATTGTCCTCTGAAAGGTGAATTTGTCTCCCAGTGTCTGTTGGAAAGCAGACTGAACCAGGTTTTCCTCTAGGATTTTGCCTGTGCTTAGCTCTACGCCTGTGTCTTTGTGGTGACTGGGTGTGTTGATACAGCATCCAAAGCGTAATTAATAACTTCATCATGCTCAAAGGGATATGCAATGTCTGCATTTTTTATTTTATTTTTACCCATCTACCAAAAGGTGCCCTTCTTTGCCCGAGGCATTGGAAAACCTCCCTGGTCTTTGACTCAAGGCATTTCAGCTTTTCCTTTTTAATTAATTTGTAAACATTTCTAAAAACTCATTTCCACTTTGACATTATGGGGTATTCAAATCAAATCAAATCAAATGGTATTTGTCACATACACTTGTTTAGCAGATGTTATAGCGGGTGTAGCGAAATGCTTGTGCTTCTAGCTCCGAAAGTGCAGTAATATCTAACAAGTAATATCTAACAATTTCACAACATATACCCAATAAACACAAAACTAGTAAGGAATGGGATTTAAGAATATATACATATATGGACAAGCAATGACAGAGTGGCATGGACTAAGATACAGTAGAATATTATAGAATAGAATGCAGTATATACATATGAGATGAGTAGTGCAAGATATGTAAACATTATTAAAGTGACTAGTGTTCCATTTCTTAAAGTGGCCAGTGATTTCAATAGGCAGCAGCAGCCTCTAATGTGCTAGTGGTGGCTATTTAACAGTCTGATGGCCTTGAGATAGAAGCTGTTTTTCAGTCTCTCGGTCCCAGCTTTGATGCACCTGTTTGACCTCGCCTTCTGGATGATAGCAGGGGTGAACAGGCAGTGGCTCGGGTGATTGATGTTCTTGATGATCTTTTTGGCCTTCCTGTGACATCGGGTGCTGTAGGTGTCCAGGAGGGCGGGTAGTTTGCCACCGGTAATCGGCAGACCACACCACCCTCTGGAGAGCCCTGCGGTTGTGGGTGGTGCAGTTGCCGTACCAGGCGGTGATACAGCCCGACAGGATGCTCTCAATTGTGCATCTGTAAAAGTTTGTGAGGGTTTTAGGTGCTAAGCCGAATTTCTTCAGCCTCCTGAGGTTGAAGAGCCTCTGTTGCGCCTTCTTCACCACACTGTCTGTGTGGGTGGACCATTTCAGTTTGTCAGTGATATGTACGCCAAGGAACTTGAAGCTTTCCACCTTCTCCACTGCGGTCCCGTCGATGTGGATAGGGGGGTGCACCCTCTGCTGTTTCCTGAAGTCCACGATCATCTCCTTTGTTTTGTTGACGTTGCGTGAGAGGTTATTTTCCTGGCACCACACTCCCAGAGCCCTCACCTCCTCCCTGTAGGCTGTCTCGTCATTGTTGGTAATCGAGCCTACTACTGTTGTGTCGTCTGCAAACTTGGAGTTGGAGGCGTGCTTGGCCACGCAGTCATGGGTGAACAGGGAGTACAGGAGGGGGCTGAGCACGCACCCTTGTGGGGCCCCAGTGTTGAGGATCAGCGAAGTGGAGATGTTGTTTCCTACCTTCACCGTCAGGAAGTCCAGGACCCAGTTGCACAGGGCGGGATTCAGACCCAGGGCCCCGAGCTTAATGATGAGCTTGGAGGGTACTATGGTGTTGAAGGCTGAGCTATAGTCAATGAACAGCATTCTTACATAGGTATTCCTCTTGTCCAGATGGGATAGGGCAGTGTGCAGTGTGATGGCGATTGCATCGTCTGTGGATCTATTGGGGCGGTATGCAAATTGAAGTGGGTCTAGGGTGTCAGGTAAGGTAGAGCTGATATGATCCTTGACTAGTCTCTCAAAGCACTTCATGATGACAGGAGTGAGTGCTACGGGGCGATAGTCATTTAGTTCAGTTACCTTTGCTTTCTTGGGTACAGGAACAATGGTGGCCATCTTGAAGCATGTGGGAACAGCAGACTGGGAAAGGGAGAGATTGAATATGTCCAGAAAACACACCAGCCAGCTGGTCTGCACATGCTCTGAGGACGCGGCTAGGGATGCCGTCTGGGCTAGGGATGCCGTACCAGATCAATGTGGAGCTATATACAGGGAGGTACGGGGTATTTGAGGTAGATACAGTGGGGGAAAAAAGTATTTAGTCAGCCACCAATTGTGCAAGTTCTCCCACTTAAAAAGATGAGAGAGGCTTGTAATTTTCATCATAGGTACACGTCAACTATGACAGACAAAATGAGAAAGCGACAGCCCCAAAACATCACTGCTCTAGAGGAGATCTGCATGGAGGAATGGGCCAAAATACTAGCAACAGTGTGTGAAAACCTTGTGAAGACTTACAGAAAACGTTTGACCTGTGTCATTGCCAACAAAGGGCATATAACAAAGTATTTAGAAACTTTTGTTATTGACCAAATACTTATTTTGCACCATAATTTGCAAATAAATTCATTAAAAATCCTACAATGTGATTTTCTGGATTTTTTAAAATCATTTTGTCTGTCATAGTTGACGTGTACCTATGATGAAAATTACAGGCCTCTCTCATCTTTTTAAGTGGTTGAACTTGCACAATTGGTGGCTGACTAAATACTTTCCCCCCCACTGTATCTACTTCAAATACCCCGTACCTCCCTGTATATAGCTCCACATTGATCTGGTACTGGTACTCCCTGTATATAGCTCCACATTGATCTGGTACTGGTACTCCCTGTATATAGCTCCACATTGATCTGGTACTGGTACTCCCTGTATATAGCTCCACATTGATCTGGTACTGGTACTCCCTGTATATAGCTCCACATTGATCTGGTACTGGTACTCCCTGTATATAGCTCCACATTGATCTGGTACTGGTACTTCCTGTATATAGCTCCACATTGATCTGGTCCTGGTACTCCCTGTATATAGCTCCACATTGATCTGGTACTCCCTGTATATAGCTCCACATTGATCTGGTACTGGTACTCCCTGTATATAGCTCCACATTGATCTGGTACTCCCTGTATATAGCTCCACATTGATCTGGTACTCCCTGTATATAGCTCCACATTGATCTGGTACTCCCTGTTTATAGCTCCACATTGATCTGGTACTCCCTGTATATAGCTCCACATTGATCTGGTACTGGTACTCCCTGTATATAGCTGCACATTGATCTGGTACTGATACTCCCTGTATATAGGTCCACATTGATCTGGTACTGTACTCCCTGTATATAGCTCCACATTGATCTGGTACTCCCTGTATATAGCTCCACATTGATCTGGTACTGGTACTCCCTGTATATAGCTGCACATTGATCTGGTACTGATACTCCCTGTATATAGCTCCACATTGATCTGGTACTCCCTGTATATAGCTCCACATTGATCTGGTACTGGTACTCCCTGTATATAGCTGCACATTGATCTGGTACTGATACTCCCTGTATATAGGTCCACATTGATCTGGTCCTGGTACTCCCTGTATATAGCTCCACATTGATCTGATACTCCCTGTATATAGCTCCACATTGATCTGGTACTGGTACTCCCTGTATATAGCTCCACATTGATCTGGTACTGGTACTCCCTGTATATAGCTCCACATTGATCTGGTACTGGTACTTCCTGTATATAGCTCCACATTGATCTGGTACTGGTACTCCCTGTATATAGCTCCATTCTTGTGTATTTTATTTTGAAACTCTGCGTTGTTGGTAAGGGCTCATAAGCAAGCATTTCACAATAAAGTCGACACCAAATTGATTTGATTTTGTCATCAGATTGATCACCTTAATTACAGTCTTCCAATTGCTCCCCTCCCTGTCGCTGTATTAAAAATAGTCTCAGTAGAAATCTAAGTGGCCTGATGACATCTGCCTCATCCCTCATTCTCCATTTCCTCTCCTCTCCTCTCCTCTCCTCTCTTCTCTTCTCTTCTCTTCTCTTCTCTTCTCTTCTCTTCCTTCTCTTCTCTCTCTCTCTCTTTCTCTCTCTTCTCTTCTCTTCCTCTCTTCTCTTCTCTTTTTCTTCTCTTCTCTTCTCTTCTCTTCTC